TAACAAACTCATTTTTCCTAATTTTGGACTTATGCCACTTATCAATTAAGGGGCTCATTTGTTCCATATGCCTGTATCACTTATTCTGCCATTTGTACCAACATCTACATATATAAACCTAAGTTGTGCATCCACAACAGCTGGTAATACAACAGAACAACTGTCTTTATAATTATAATATAATGATCCTGACTGTAATGGTGGATCAATTTTAAAATGTTTGCCATCCATGGCTCCAACACAATTATAAAAATTCCAACGATAACCAAAATCATCAGCCACGACTCTCCATTCATCCTCACACGATGGTATTCTAAGATAGTCTTCACGTAGTACATGAATAATTGCAGTACATACTTCCTTAATGATACCTGAAATGGTACTCTGACCAATCCGAAATGTGAGACAAAGAGATTCTTGACTTTCCCTTAAAAATAAAATAACATTCTTTGAAACATTACTTATATTTTCATTACTGATGCACATTTTAAATCTAAAAAATTTCGAGTTACCTGTTGCAAGATGTCGTAGGGTGAGAGACAACCTCTCAGCAGGCGAAATCCTTTGTCTCAAATGTGTATCCTGTTTTGTAATAATAGGAGTTACTTTTTCTAAAAGATTTTCAAATAAAGCGGTATTCATCCGAAGACATCTATAATATAAATATTTAGCATATCAAGTATATCGTAAACAAATTAAAGAAATAAATTTCTAATTGAGTTATGTACCGTCTAAACCTATCTGGATCTTCGAAAAGCAATTCTGTAAAAAGATTATAATGCATGCCTCTCCTGTTTCTCTTTAAAAGATATGGATGTGTCCATATACGAGGATTGTTTCGATGAGTTTCCTCTTCAGCGATTATTAAAAATAAAAGAGCAGCAATTCTTTTCTTTTTATTTGACCGTGTTATACGCGGCATTTCTTAAATTTAATTGTATCTCAACTTGTTTGTATAAAAGACAGTAAACCTTAAAACATATACTACGTAATATATGTCCAGTAAAAAATTTGTCATGCATAAATATGTATAAGTATGTTTGAACATACACAAACATGTATAAATATTCATAAACATGTGTAATTATAATATATATAAAATATGTCCATACATATTCATACATCCCTTTTCCTTTTGTAAAATTACTTTTTAGTGTAATAGAAATAGTAATGTGAAAACATAAAAACTAATTAAAGGGATAATTATTTTACAATTCTTCAAACTTAATATTTTCTAAAACAAATAGTGCAAAAATCAACCTTTTGATTATTTTGAATGTTTTCATATTGCTATTATTATTTTTATTACTCTAAAAATTAATTTTACAAGAGAAAAAAGGATGTATGACATATTTCATATAAAATTATGTATGTTTATGAATAATTATACATATTTATACATGTTTATGTATGTTTATACATA